GACGCAAAAGTCGCAACTTTTTTAAATAAAGACTCTGGATCCATCGCCAAAAGTTCTTTAGAGGGTAATGCCGTGAAACTAAAACTACCGAAATTTGAATTGAAGACATTCTCTGGTGACCCTAAAGAATATCTCACATTCTGGAGTATATTTTCAAAAATTCATGAATCCGAAGATTTATCTGCGATCGAAGTTCCAATATTTATACCAATCTATGGTACCCGAATCCAGGGCCGCAAGATTAGTTTCCAGTTTCCCAATAACAGCAGACAATTATCCGAAAGCCATTAAACAATTAAAATTAAGGTTTGGCAGAGAAGATCTTTTAGTACAAATATACGTTAGATATCTCCTTTCTCTTGTTATGAAAAATGCTGCTGCCGGAAAGAATTCTCCTGATTTAGCAACCCTCTACGATATGCTGGAAACAAAATTAAGAGCTTTGGAAAGTTTGGGACATACGAAAGAGAAATTTGCTGAATTTCTAGCCCCTCTTGTAGAGTCATGCTTACCTGAAAATGTTATGCGAGCCTGGGAACGGAGTAGAATTTCTGAAAATACTGATGACGTTACCAGTCAGAGATCCCTCGAAAAACTAATGTGTTTTTTGAGACATGAGGTCAAATCTGAAGAAATGATCAATTTAGCTCGTGAAGGGTTTGGTAGAGATAAGGGAAGTGGCGAGAAACGAAAAGATTACCACAAATCGATCCAAAGAGATGAACCTACAGTTACTACACTGATCGCCAACACCTCAGTAGGAAAAAACAATTGTATTTTCTGTGACCGATCACATCCAAGTCAAGACTGCCAGAAAATAGCAGAAATGAGTTATGAGGACAGAAAATCACGAGTTATACAAAAGAAATGCTGTCTTGTTTGCCTCAAATCTGGTCACATGGCAAAAAGATGTCACAGTAATGTAAGGTGCTTAGTTTGTAAACGGAGGCNGCCCAGATCTACGTAAAGGAATTAATTCTTCGTCTAAGGACAAAATAGCAGGTGATGAACAGAAAGCAACAGAAATATTGTTCACGAATCGTCCTTCTGAACGTGAAATATATCTCAAAACAATTACGATCAGACTACGAAACAGAGACAAGGAAGTCTGTGTTCGTGCATTAATGGATAATGGATCACAGCGTTCCTATATTGAAAAG